GCAAAAAATAATAGGCATAGATCATATACCTGGAAGCACCATATTTTCTAAATGTTTGTGAGACCCACAGACAGAAACTTGATAGTATAACATTAAAATTGTGTTTTAATCTTTCCATATTTAGTGGGATTACCTAGATTGTAGTTGAAAGACAGACAGACAAGTATGGTATGGAGAGAAATATGAATGATATTTGTTTCATTAGACAATAAGCTTGAATTTTCTCCTGCCTGATTAGTCAAAAGTACTTTCTGCTATTGTTCTTAGGCAAGAATGGTAAATGTAGATGCCTGCTTATTGTCTTCTGTTGATATGAGGTCATGTCTGAGATAGAAACGATTACCTTGTGACTGTTCATTATTGCTTATGTCTACATTTCAGCTGCAAGGTTTCCATATATGCCTGGCAGCGTTGATGTAAATATCTGACCCAGGAAGATACTCTTATCAGTCCTATGACTTTCCTATGACTGCTGGTACTACACTACAAATCTGGTAGAGAAGACTTTCTCTGTCAATATAGGTATGTCAAGGTACATTAAGTACAGCAGCACAAAATAATCCTTGATGCTATATAAATTGATAGTCACAACTATGCAAAGCATACTAGAATACAAAGTGGATAATAAACAGCTATTCATTTAAAATGTTTTTTTATTTTATTTTAGATCTGACTTTTAATTTGATTTAGATTATTAAGAGTTACTAAAGTATTTAGCAACAAATGAAAAGTAGCTCAAATTCTATGATGAACATACACATTTTATTACTTGCTATTATGGAAAAACAAAATAAAGATCTGATAAAACCTTTAAAGTTTTAAACCAAATACAGTATATTTGGGTTATGGAACGGATTTGAATGGAAAGTAAAAAGGAAATTTGCAGGACATTCAGGGCTTTTACAGACCTCCTCATTATCTTAATTCCCTCAGCTTCAGGGACCCAAGGCTATTTTCTGTTTCAAATGAATAGAGAGTAGCTATTGTAGTTACTCTTCCTGCAGGTAGAAATATCTGACTGATCTTGTCTGGGCCAACAAGCTAAGCAGGCTGAGACTTAATTAGATCTTGGATGTTAAGTATTTTGGCTATAAGTGCCAGACTAGGAAGTGGGAGGAAAAAATCCAAAAGATGACAATGATAAATCACTTTCATATTAGAGCTCAGTAAATTGCATGGACATGTCCACAAAGCCAACTCCAAGATTTTGTTTTAAATATGACAGTTTTTTTCTTCATATGTCTAGGATTAGTGAAAACTGTGTGTGGTGGAGCTGTCTGCTAAAAATAACACTTCCTTTGACTGATTCACTCTTTTTCAAAGAAAGCACTGTAACGGTTATTTACATGTTCTGAATAAGCTACATGTAGCATAATTTAGGCCAGTGTTTTTCAAATTATGGAATTTTATGATGTGTTAACTTTACTCCCAGAATTCTCTAACCAGCATATTGGCTAGGGATTTCTGGAAACTGAAGTTCACATGCCTTAAAATTGCCAAGTTTGAAAAACACTGATCAAGGCAACGATGAACGTTCTGAATACTATTGCTTTTAATAAAAGGATAAAGTTACCCCCTTAAAATTAATTTTGATATAAACAAGTTTTATGGTGTTTCATTTAGACCATAGTTTGTGCTATACATTGTCTATATATTTATTGCAATTAATTATTCAGCAAAAATGTATAAGGTTTTGCATGAAGTTCTGATATTGTTTCAGGAACCAATTCTCCCTCTCTTTCTCTCTCTCCCTCTCCCTCCCTCCCTCCCTCTCTCTCTCCATCCCTCCCTCCCTCCCTCTCTCTGTCTCTGTCTCTGTCTCTCTGTGGGGTTGTTTTATGTTTGTGTGTGTGTAAAATGTATCCATATCATAAGTTGGTGCATCAAGTGCTGAAGAATTAAAATATAGTAGCACAGATGAAATTCATGAAGAACCAATTACAATTGTGACATTAGAATAGGTGGTGCCTTACCATAAAACAAACAAATAAGTTTTCTCAAAGCAATTACTAATGAATTGGGGGCAATAGCCTCTTATGTTTACTAATTAGACTATGTACATATTTCTATACACTATATGAGAAAGGAGGTAATTTATGCAGAATCAATTGCAATGTAATATTTTATAGATCTATTATTTTTATAGTTATTTTATATCACACACATCTGTCTCCTGTCCTGATCTTCTATTACATGCCATTTCTGGCAGACATTCATAAAGTATGATACTACCTTACTAATTGGGCGTGAAAAACTGTAGGGTTGTTTTTTGCTGGAACTAAAAGTGGAAAAGTGTGGGCCAGACTGGGAGTTTTGTTTTATATTTATAATTCTTTTGTTTGACAACTTTTCTTTTAATAGGGATCTTCTTACATCCTTAAGGTGAATGCACCACAGGCAGACCTTGAATTATGACTACAATTGAGCTTGGAATTTGGGTTGTAAATCATAGTGTTCATTAAGCAAGTGTCCAGATGATTGCCTCTCTCAACAACTGTGATCTAGGCTCTGCCAGCTGTGGTTGTTAAGCAGACTGTGCTTAACAGGTGCCTCGAGGTAGTGGTATCCCTGGGATGCCTGCCTGCACTACTCTGTTTCAAATTCAGGCCCCATTGCAGCACCACCTGACCTGAGCTCACATGTGGCTTCAATTGGGCTTCCCAGGAAGTGCATCACCCCCTGAGATACTCCCTACACAATGGCAGTTAATGGTAGTGCCAAGGCTGGGCCTGAAGTAGAGGTCCAGGCCTAACCCTAGGGCCAATGCTGCTATTCTAAAAGGCCCTTCCCACACACAGCTGTAAAATTTGATTTCTGAAGTCTCTAAAAATTGAACAAAAGCACGGTCTTTTTTGAGTCTTCAGGCAGGCACTGTCTTTGTTCAGCACTGCCATAATTTTGAATGGCCACTGAATGAATGATTGTAAGCTGAGGGACACCTGAAACATATATGTAATTTTAAATGATAAATGATCTTAAGACTACATGGAAATGGTAGTGTAAGACTTTGCTTTTCACATACAGTAGTTTCTCATTCTCTAATGTTTTATCTTGCTTTTTCAGCTTGCTTTTCAATTTTATTGTTATTGGCTTCACAACATGTTGTCTAATGTGCTCAAATACAGTTTTAAGGTGCTAAAGGGCTACATTTGAAAAATATTGAAATGAAAGTTAGTGCTGATTATCTCTTTACTATCTTTGTAGCTATGTTTTAATCTTATCTATTGTGTATAATTCCCTAACATCATTTGGTGCTGATTACATATAAGGCTATCTGGTATTCTGTATAATGAAACAAAAGAAAAATGGTTGCATTCTTTAAATTTTAAGAAAAAGGAACCATAATGTTTCCACGCTGATATGAACCACACGATCAACATTTTTATATCATTGTCTTAAATCTGTCTGACTTGACTTGTCTTCAGTTAGAATCTGTTCCTTATGAAATAATAGTTTTCTCTATCAATCTATTGATCTATCTCATGGAGACATCAGAAAGTGAAGCTGTTATCAATGTGATATTAGACTACAAGTTATTCTTAATAGTTTTCCCAAATTACAAGTTTTTGTTATTTTGAATTCCAAAACATACTTCATGTGGCATCTAAAATATACCTCAACTTCCCATTTTCTTCTCTTTCTACACAGGTTAATTTAAGGTTTCCTCAATTTGTCCTAATATAATTCCCAGGCCTTTTCTCTTTGCTCAGGTAACTGGCCAAAATAGATTCATGGCCATGGCCATTTGTGTATAAAATTGGAATATAAATATTAATAGGTTCCTTTCATGGGATTTTGATTTTAATTCTTTCTATATGAAAGAATAATGTTATAAAAATTAAAATAACTACTTTATTCATGGAGCTTTTCAAAATTAGGTCTGTGAAAAGATTTCTGTTACTGAAGCTTTGTTAAGCAAAGTAGGTCCTATCTTTTGTTTTATTGCCTATACTTTTCTGTCATTCTTGTATTTTGCTCCCTTAATTTGGATTATATTCTGATTTAATTAAAGCATACTTTTCTTAATAGGTTTTTATGAACAAGAATGAGAACATAAGAAACATTTTTTTATTCTTCACATGTTTCCCTAGATAGGAAAATAATAAAGTATTAAGTTACAGCATATTTGTGTTTCTAAAAATCTAAAAAAAATGGAGTGATGCTATATCAGTAGCCACCAGATGTCAGTGCAACAGATCCTATCTTAAGCTAATTGTCTTTTTGTGATTCTATTTTGAACAGAACATATTCTGTAACCTACAATTGTTGGGTAAACTATACATTAAAGATTTAAATATATTGATTCATTAATTATTATTAGAAGGTAGTATAAAAGATAGTCACTTAAATTAAATATTTATTAATTTAAAAAATACTGGTATTTCTTGTTTCAAACATCTGACTGCGATTTTATCTGCAATTTTATGACTAATGAAGAAAGTATTTTGGAGGGGATTTTTCATTTGCTGCAGAGTAATATCCTATATTTTATCATCTGCTTTTTGGTGCTAGCAAATAGTTTTATAAATATAGCCAACGACAGTGCTCTGTATCCCCTTTAACATTTAAAATATTCAGTTACATGTGTACTAATGGACTAATGAAATATATGTAATCACTTTCTAAATAAAGGGATAAAAAGTACCACCTATTTGCTGGGTACCTAATACAATTACCTTGTTTTAAAGGATGGTATAGGGTTTTTTTCCTATTAAAATATTTTTACTTTTTAATCTATTTAATATATATTATATCTCTTCTTTTTATATAAAAAGCATAGTAACAAAGTAAAGTAGTACCTGTATTTTTTTAAAGAGTTCTGCTTGATTTAGGCTGTGAACTGTAACTAAATTAAGATCCTGTCTTATGGATTGCTAGCAGTCCCACTTTGCAATATACTATGGCATAACATTGGTTACTGTAAAGCTAATAAGAGAAAAATATATTTGAGAATGTATCATTTACATTACAAAAGGCTCATTCTTGTTGTTTTTCCAAAGGATGAAGAAGAAGAAATAAAGCTGGAAATCAACATGCTGAAAAAATATTCCCATCATAGAAATATTGCAACGTACTATGGTGCTTTTATTAAAAAAAGTCCCCCAGGACATGATGACCAACTGTGGGTAAGGACATCTTTCATGAGTTTGTACATAATTTTTATCTTAGAACTTGAAAGCATCAGGTTAAATAAACGGGATTAGAATGCAACAAAGTCTTACAATATTCTAACAGAGTTAAAATAAATAAATTGCACATTTGTGTGGCATATCGTTACACATTTTTTGTGACATGATTTATTGACAGCAAACATTTATTTATACCTGTGTTCTCTAGCAGAACAAGAATATGAAAGGAACAGTTATCTTTCTACTTTTAACACATAATTGAAACACATTGTTAAATTAGGACTAATTCTTTCTCACAAAGGTTTTAGTGAAATTAGTATTATTGCAAAACAAATACTTTGCAGAGATAGGTTTGTTAAATCTATTTAGACAATCCAATGCTTTGCTTAAAACAAGGAGCTATTTATTTACTTCTGTTTACTTTGAGCAACAAAAGTAATCATTGCTCAATGTTGCACATTTTTTGAAATTCTCAGTTGTTTTGTGAGAAACCCATGATGTCATGCTGGCCACATGACAGCAGAAATGTCTTCAAACAGTGCTGGCTCAACAGCCTTGAAACGGAGATGAACACCGCCCCATACAGTCAGCAGTGACTAGCAGAGTAAAATCCCCAGGGACTCCTTTTCTTTGTGAGAAAAAAAAGAGTATTGATAGAATAAACAGATTTCCAAAGTATGATTCACTATTTAGCCATGCTTTGTAATATATTATTTGTTCATAACAATGTGAAATCTCTGTCTATGGAGATTCTCAGTCATCCAGGTCGTGGTTGTCCCAAAGGTGCTTTTTCAAGAGTCAACTGGAATTTCTGGTTTTTCTTTGAAGAAGCTTCTTGGATGAGAAGCAAAATGTCTTCAAAGAAAAACCAGAAATTCCAGTTGCCTCTTGAAAAAGCACCTTTGGGACAATGTGAAATCTCAGCTGACAGTTCTTTTGTGGGTGTTGGCCTTAATATGCATTGCGTTTTTCCCCCAAACCTATGTATTGGCATAGTATGTGTATGGATCCAAACAGCATGGCCTTTTGCAATTGTCAATGCACAGATTTTCTAAGTGCCATCAAATATTTTTCCTAGTATGATTTGATTGCTTATTGTACCCTATGACTATTAATTAAGTGTTGTACCTTATGATTCTTGACTCTTGATGAATGTATCTTTTCTTTTATGTACACTGAGAGCATATGCACCAAGACAAATTCCTTGTGTGTCCAATCACACACTTGGCCAATAAAGAATTCTATTCTATTCTATTACTAATCTTGAAAATTGAACCTCAGTAGTATTGTTTAGCATCACTATAAGTAGGAACAGTTACCAGAAAATGGTAGGAAAAAAATCAGTTAATATTGGGTGAGCAACAAAGAGGATGATGTTATGGAAGGTTCTTATAACTGGTTAATTCAGATTATGTTAGTTAGTTTTCACATAGGGAAGAGCCAAGGCAGAGTAGTTAGACAGCCAGTTTTATTAAAGAATCTTTTATAATATGAACATCTTATTCTCTGAATGCTAATAGGCTGATATGAAATAAACATATAATTGTCACTGGAGTTTAAATTATAATACATATGGTATATTCTTATGGGAACTTACTTTATTTCAATAAATTCATCCAAATGGGTATGTCATATATTGACTGAAGGTACTTTGAACAATTATTTTGTATTCTGTTTTTTTTAGCTTGTTATGGAGTTTTGTGGTGCAGGCTCTATTACAGACCTTGTGAAGAATACAAAAGGAAATACTTTGAAAGAGGACTGGATAGCATATATCTCCAGAGAGATTCTTAGGGTAAGAAACATGAACAGTGCATTTCTATTTAAACAGTTAAATTTTAAATTCTTCTTTAATTTTAGTAAGCCTTAACAATGAAGATTTTAACTTAGAGGTATATAAAAGGCAAGATTACTAATTTAATAATCTTTAAAGGTAAATGATGATGTAATTGGGTGCATTAGAAACTATTGTGATAATATTTGGTACAACATATGTTTACAGCTTAATGCAGCACCTTTTTAGTCGTCTAGAAGAGTAAAATTCATCTAGGGCTTACAACAACCTTGTGTACAATTCTGCAAACTGCAAAGGGTAATTAAAACTAATATATATTTTCTTTATTTCATGTTATTCTAAATTGCTATCTACCCAAAAAAGTAATCAAGATATGTATACTGCACTTCTTATGAATACCTTGAAGTTATTGGAACCATTACTGTTATCAGTTATCAGTGATGATAAAAAGAGTTTTTTCTAAGAGACATTGCAAAACTGTATCTGACTTTATATACATTCATGCAGACACATATACAGAATAGAACTTTGCATTCCTGACAAATAGTATATTTAATCTGCAAATAATTAGATACAGTTATATTCTCCCTTCTATAGAAAAATCTTTCTCTTTCAGAAAACATTACTAAAATAGCTTGTGTGATCTTAATTATTGAGTAAAGTTATTGTCATTGCTATTTTATATTATATATTGTCTTGACTTTCTGTAGAAGAACTTGATGTTATTAAGTTCTCTTATAAGTCTGGTCCAAGCTATCTTTTTTGGTGGTTTTTTTTTTTTTTTTTAGAAAATTCATGATTACTGGTCATGGTAGTATTCCATTCATAAAAAGCAATTGGTTCAAAATGTACTTTGAATTTCATTGATATATAAATGAATGAAAAAAAGCAAAGAATTGTCAGGATTGTATGTGTATTTATAAATATTTTACAGAATTTGTACCAACCTTATGGATTATTCAGCCTTACAAAATTTATATTAGCATTATCAGTTATAGGTAATATGTCAAATAACAGGTTTCCTTTCTAATTATACTTTGCTTGCTATATATTTTTTTCTACTCTTGCCAGTAATTTTCAATAAAGATCTGGTAGATTGGTTTATAATACAGTATCATAGATCTTACAAGATTAGCTCTTATCAAGTATGTTCCAGAAATGTTTTAAAAGTTGTGAAGTTGTTATATATATTAAACATTGTAAAATTATGCATGACCTTTCCTTATGTTTTATATATTAATAAAACATCTTTTACAGTTCCTCTTGTTAAAGCACATAGAACAAAAACGGAATAGCAGTAATAATTTGGGGAAAACATGGACTACAGTATGACATACTGCAAGCCTGAATGTTGCATATTTAAGGAAAAAGAAACAATGAATTGTTTCACATGAATTGTCTTGCCTTTTTTAAAAAAATGCAGGGATTGGCACATCTACATGCCCATCATGTGATTCATCGAGACATCAAAGGACAGAATGTATTGTTAACAGAAAATGCAGAAGTGAAATTAGGTAAGTTAATTAGACTGTTCTTAATGTCCTTCTGGCTTGTTATTTCATCTCAATTATTATTTCATCTAGTAACAGCATAGCTGGAGAGGTATTGAAAAACTATCTGAATAGTCAACATCTATTCAGGGAAATTTTGGAGAGTGTGAATTTATCATTTATTTAACAATAAAAATGTGTAGTCCTCTAACTCAAAATCAATGTTAGTTATTTTTTAACATTTCATGTGCTTTTTTTTTTCCTTTGAATTTTAATATCTGCCCTTTGCTGAGAATACCAACATTGTTGGATTTGAATATGTTAGGATATCCTTGCATTAGTGCTTAAGATCCAAGCTATTAAGTACATTCAAACAGTGTTGAAAGAGCCCAACCCAACTCCCATAATAGAGCAAAATCATTTAAAGATCATCGAGCTCACTTTGCAACTTAAGATGTGAGACCTATTATTTTCTATCATGGTTGTTAATCAAATCATATGATTGTAAAGCGAATATGGCTTCCTCATTGATTTGCTTGTTAGAAGTCAGCTTGTGGACTGACTGCAGGAGTCTGTAACTCTCATAAATGCAATCCAGTTACCAAGCTCCAAAATGCAAAGACATGACCATGGCATGGTGACCATGGCATGGTGCATGACCATAACTTCAAGGATAGGTTGCAAGTCATTACAAATGGCATCACTGGAAAAGCCATAGTGGTTCAGTTTCCTTTGGATAACTGGTTCCCAAGATGATTTGAAGTTGTCTGCCAATATTAGTTAGGTTAGTCCACCAGGATTGTGGTATAGTTTTACCCAGTAGTAAAGATTCAAAATCCCAAAAGTTGGATTGACCTCCACTTCTTATTGAAGTATTGCATTTGGGATGCAGTGAGTAACTGAAGATGTGTCTCAGAATATTTGTTTTTATTTCTGACATAACCTTGCTTTTATATGTTCATAATTTAGTCCTATGTAGCATTTGTGCTCTGACTTTAGCTGAAAACAACTTAATTGAACCAGGGATTATGAACCAGGATTATTGAAGGTTAAAGTGGTGACAGTGTAGTTTGTCAATAGAGATGCAAAAATTTTTTGCAAAGGTTTTTTTTTTTTGGGGGGGGGGTTTGATGTTAAGATTGGCTTGGGGAAGAAAAGAATGTCAAAAAGGTGAGAGGGAGGTGGGCTTGATAAGTTTGATGAAAGGGTAGAGAAACAGAGAATCTGAGAATTTGCAGAACAGAGAGGTCAGAAAGGGTTGGTTGGAAACGGGGGTGGGGGAAATGGAAAGAAAAGATTTAATTGTGTGTTTCCCTTGAAATCTCCTGAATCTTTCTAGACTCCCCCTGCTGTCCTCTGGATCTTACTAGTTTAATTTCTTTGTGCTGTCATTGACTGGAGCTAAGCCTTAGTCCAAAAACCTGACTGTCAGCAGATGCAGCTTTGAGAGATGGCTGGATTGCTTGATAGAGGTGGAGCTGAGGAAGGAGATGAGTTCCCTTGACTTTGCCGGCAGCTGAACCTACTCACATGGACACAGCGAGTTGTCCCATTCCAGAAAGGAAACCACCATGGAGAGCACCCTTCTTCTTGGTCTTGCTAGATGGGCCTACATTGGCTTTTTTGGCAGCTGCAGCACATTGTGGCTTGTTTAAATGATTGTCCACTGGGAATACAAGATCCCTCTCACATTTACTACTATTGGGCCATGTACCACCTATTCTATACCCGTGCATTTGTTTTTTTCTTGCCTAAATGTAAAACCTTGCTTTTCTTACCATTGAATTTCATCTTGTTAGATAGGGCCCAGTGTTCAAGTCTGTCAGGATACTTCTGTATCTTGAGTTTGTTTTCTGGACTATTGGCTACTCCTGCCAGTTTGGGTTTGTCTGCAAATTTTGATGAGTTCCTCTTCTATTGCCTCATCAAATCATTGACGAAGATATTGAAAGTACTGTGCCTAAGACAGAGTCTTGGGTGCCCCATTGCATACTTCCCTCCATGTAAATACAGTTTCATTAAGGACTATACATTGAATGCAGTTGGTCAGCCAGTTATGAATCCACCTGGTAGTGATGTTGTCTAACCCACTTTTTTCTATTTTACAAAGTAGTTGGTTTTGTCTACTTTATGAAATGCTTTACTGCAGTCCAAGTAAGTTATATCTACAACATTTTGCTGGTCCACTAATTTTGTCACTTTGTCAACGAATGCAATAAGATTTGTCTGGCATGATCTGTTTTTGAGAAACCCATGTTGGTTTCTGGTTATGATTTTGTTTGCTTCTGGGTGTTCACAGACTCCTTGCTTGAATTATCTTTTCCAGGATCTTCCCAGCTATTTATGTCAGGATGATAGGTCTGTAATTTCCTGCAACATTTTGTTAAAAAGATGAGAACTACATCAGCTCTTTCCCAGTCATCACGTAGTTCCATTGTGCTCTAGGAACTTAGAAAGATATAGTTCAGTGGTTCTGAGATGACATCTGCCAATTTCTTCAGAACGTTGGGATGTAACTCATCTGGTCCTAGTGATGAACTCATCTAGAGTGAATAGGTGGTCTTTCGTCATTTTTGGGGGTGGGGTGGGGGCTTATTTTGACTTGCATTCCTAAACTGCATTTTACAGTATTTTTATAGATTGGACTGTTGTTTTTTTTCCTTTTGTGTAAAAACAAATGCAAAAAATGAGTTAAGCAGCTTCCTTTCTCTTTACTGCTCAATCATTTCCTTGACTTTTTTTTCTTGTTTTTTACATGTTGAAAGGAGCTTTTTTATTATTGTTGTTGACTTTTGTTGCAAGGCTTAGTTCATTTTGAGCTTTAGCTTTGCTGACTTCATCTGTGCAGATTCAGTCTATGCTGATTTTCTGCCTTAGTTTTGTATCTCTCTTCCCACTTTTCATACTTGCCCTTTTTGTCTTTCAGTATATCAGAAAATTCTTTGTGTAGCCATGCTGGTTTCTTTCGAGATTCCTTATTTTTTTTTCTTCATTGGAATTGTGCTAGGTTTTTATAATCTCACTTTTCAAAGTTTCCAAAGCTTCTTGGGTTGTTTTCCCCTTGAAGATTCTCATTCATGGAATTCTTCTCAATCTTGCTCTAAATTTATTGAAATTAGCTATCTTGAAGTCCAAGAGTGTAGTTTGACCTTGTTTTTCTATTACTTGTGCTTGCATAATGTTGAATTCCAATATTCTGTGGTCACTCATCCCCACCCCAGGTTCCTGTAACTTCAACGAATTTATGAAATATATTTTCATAGATAGATAGATCGATAGATAGATAGGATAAACTGTGCTTAATGCATTTGGAGAGAGTGAGAATCTTGGTCTTGGAATAATTTATTATTAATTTCTCCTCAATATAATTATTCATAAGTGATCTTTTAAGACCAGTGGTCTCTTTTAAGACCAGTGGAAGTCAGTGGCAGAATTATTGCTTCAATCTTACGTTCTCATGAATTTTAGTGAGCAGCAGAAGCAGTTGTTTGTCTATTATAGTGTATTTAAGTTTACACCATCATTTAGATACTATATCAAAAGTAGCCTAAAGATAATAAATGTGCCATAAAGAAATTTTCTAGATTTGTATGTATACTTTCTAGCATATTGTTACTTTCTTTCCACCCCAAAAATTCCCTTAGCGTTTATTGTGACATAGTTCAATTGTCTTTGAGTTTCAATCTTTAATACGAAGGCTAGGTTTGATGAAAAATATCTTACAATGAAAAATATGATGAATTGCATACACTTTAATGGCATTTCATTCGCTTCAATATTTCATAGATTGCTTGGCTTGTATTAATTCATTATAATTGCACAAGATTGCCTCAAGTAATCCTTGATAACTTATTTTCATGTGTTTAATACTCCATCTCTTCTATTTCAATATAGTGGATTTTGGTGTTAGCGCTCAGCTGGACAGGACAGTTGGTAGAAGAAATACTTTTATTGGGACACCTTATTGGATGGCTCCAGAAGTTATTGCCTGTGATGAAAATCCAGATGCAACGTATGATTATCGAGTAAGAAAAATATTAATAATTGTGTTGTATTTCCTGTACTTTCATCCATTAGTTTTGTAAACAAATTTCTTTATTTCATAAATAATCATTAAGATTTTGTAAGGAAAGCATTATATTCCTTCTTTTGACTAGGGAAGTTTTCTCTTTAAATTGAGGAGCAAGATAACCCAACATAACTTAATAAATCTTAGATGACACCTGATAATCTCAAATACTTAAATAGTTCTGTGTATTACTGTTACAGTGTCAAAGCTTATTGTTTTAGATATTAAATGTTGCTAGTTTTTTTAGTACTTCTGTTGTAGGAAACAGAAAAGATAATATTTTTGGATTCAAGGGCCACACCAGTCAAGAGATTATTTGGTGCCTCCTCACAAATCATGCTGAGACAGAGAGCAAATGCTCCTTCTTAGGTGTCATTTTCCTACCATATTCCTGCAGCCTTTCAAACAGCAGAAGCCTAAACTCCTACTTGTTTTATGTGTGGGCTTTTGAATCAGCTTGACTCCTGTGGACTACTTAGCAAATTTACACAATTTTCTTGGTGCCATTTTTCAAAAGTGGTTTGCTCTTGCCTTGTAAAAAAAGCAACTGGCTGAAAAGAAGTCACTCCATGTCTAGGTCAGAACTCACAATCTTCCCATTTTTAGTTCAGTATTTTTAAACAGTAATCCTAACTAGCTGGGATTAAGTGACCCTAAAAATCAATCTTAGGAGGAGGTGGTTGTACAGCTGAATCATGTGGAATATTCAAACATTAAATTTTAAATCCATTTAAATAACATGAAATGTTTGAGCTTTATCGTATAAAACCAGTGGGGGAAAAGATAACTCGGTATTTAATGTTTTCAATTCTAGAACAAAGTATTCATCTTGCTGAGGAGCTTGAAATATTTCAGAACCTTGGGGAATATGATCTTATAATAATTAATATTTTGACTGTGCATGAATGTGAATAAGAGGGACAGGAGATTAATAAAATTGGAGATTATATCAACTGTTTATAACTGAATGGCTTGTCGTACAGCATAGGATAAATATGGAGATCATTGATACAAAATTGACTTCATTCAAAATAATGAAAAAGGGGATATTTTATTGCAATACCTGTTAGATTTCATAAAAGAACTATAGTTTGAGATACAGTTGTTTCCAGCTGTTCTTCATATCTGTGTTGACAGATAGCTTCTTTATTTTTTCAGTCCTGAAATGCCAATAAGAATAAGACAGATAGAAGTAAAATTAAATTAAACCTGACTGAAGGATACAAATTTTCCATAATTTAGTCATACTGGTCAGGTGTGATAGGAGTTACAGTCCAGCTTATTTCAGTGGTACTGGTTTGAGGAAAACTGTGCAGCCTGTTAAAAATTCCCATGTTAGTATTGGAATAAAGAAAAAGCCTTCCTTCCTTCCTTCCTTCCTTCCTTCCTTCCTTCCTTCCTTCCTCAGTGTTTCCCAGGGGTAAGATACAAATATTTTTTACTACCGGTTCTGTGGGCACAGCTAGGTGGGTGTGGCTTCTTTTTCGTGCAGCACCCACCCCCGCCTCTGGGTTTTTGTTTTTTGTTTGCCTCCTGGGCCTCAGGGAAGCGTCCTGCGGGGGCTTTTGTGCTCCCAGGAGGCTTCCCTGAGGCCCAAAAAGGAAAAAAGGGGGGGGGGGGGGGGGGGGGGGCTCCACACCCAAAATTCTGGTTCAACTGAACCAGTAGCTGTTTTTTTTACTACTGGTTCGGCAAACGGTAGCATTTTTTACTACTGGTTCACTTGAACCAGACCGAACTGGTAGAATCCCACCACTGATGTTTGCTCATTACTATTAATTTGACTGTATATTCGCCTTCAAGGTGTAATCTATTATTGGCTATGTCTGCATTGGAAATAAGAGGCTTTGCATTGTTTCACATCTGATAAACATTTTCAAACTTTTCTTTAAATAGAGTTCATGTTTTAGGAGACTTACTAGTTTAAAACTTAGTAGGCTACTGAGGAGCAGCATGCCCACAGTCTTGAATCTTGTACTCTGAAATTTATTTTTACATTTAGTTTGAAATAGAACAAGCAACATATTGGCAAAGACTTATGAGCTTTTTATAGTAGTGTTCTTGAGTGTTTTACAATGCACTTGATGTCCTAGTAGTTTAATTTTGCACAATCTTTGCTTTCCTGTTGATCCAACTCCCATCAATTTGGTTTTGGTTTCTAAGTAATTGCATATCCGGAACATCAGAAAAACATCTGCTAGAAAAATATAGCCGAAAGATACAGAATTTACAGAAATGTTACATCATGGTTAGAAAAGTATTGTTTTTCCTTTCCAAATACATAGGAAATCTATATGAAAATATGTGAATACAAATATTTGCGTTATTTGTAAAAAAAACCAAAAAAAAAGAAATATAAACTTTGAAGTAGAAGAGATTTCATCTGCAAAGATGCTAGACATTGTCCTTCATAAGTTACTTTAATTTTGTATATTTACATAGGTAAATAACACATGTTAATTATTTTTTCAGAGTCAAATTGTAAAAAAACTGAAACTATTTAAAAACTGGTGTTTTTTTTTGTAATTCCAAACTTTCCTTTATAATATATGAGCTATAATTGACTGAAAGAAAAGTGGATGTGTTTGCTAACATACGGTTTGTCTTTGTAGAGTGACCTTTGGTCATGCGGCATTACGGCCATTGAGATGGCAGAAGGCGCTCCCCGTAAGTAATACATATATAGTGTTTAATTATCTGATTTCAAAAATGCAGCCTATTCTTTGAATTACTCTTTGTATTCTAAATGTACCCTTGGAAAATTTGGACTGCAATGATCTTCCCACTCTCAGGTAGAAAAAATAAACAGAAATTATTAAGCAGTTGTGACAAAGCCTCATTTTGCAGTGATTGTACTAAACCAATAGAGATCAAACAACAGAACAAACCCTTCAATACAGTTATTGAATTGATATTGAATCCATGTAAAAATTCTTATGAGATATTTGATTCTGAGACAGTTAACACTATTACTCATTATAAGAAAAAGGCTATGCTGGTCTGTGGGGCAAAAGAGGTGGAATCTGGTAGCAACTTTTCCAACTAACACATTTAATTTAAAAGCATGAACTCTCACTTCAACCAAATGCATGGAATGTCTGGATTGATGTAGAATTTAAAACATGTAAGGGATGAGGGGGAGAAGGATGGGAGGATAGTTCAGTTATACACATGTATGTTTCCTGTGGAAAAGTTACAGTTACCTTATCAATTAACAATTGTATTAAAAAATATATAGTGGGCAGTTGAGACCTTGTGAGATTGCCTGAAATGTTTTATGTATGTCAGTTCAACATTGCTTGATGACCAACATTGCTTGATGATATCCGTCATCTGATGACAGCAGCTTATGGCTTTGAAGAAAGTTTGTTAGTCAGAAAAGGTGCTATTAGATTCCTGATTTTATGTTATTAGCAGACTTAATGTTTAGTGCTTATAGGATGCCACAGAGCTTATTGCACATGGCAAATCCCTTATATACTGTTTTTCAAAGGAAATGAGTGTTTGGTCTCTAATTTCCAGGGGCTATATGAAGAGGTAATTGTTATACTTAGCTCTAAGGCATTTTATAGAACAGATGGTGTCTCTGAAATCACAGCACCTCTCTCAGCATAAACACGATTCTATCCCCTCTTTGATCTACGGTTGTCAGGACTATTATTTTTATAATCTTTTGCTCTTGTCATAATCCCATCATTGCTTAGTTTACAATGTTAAATATATGTAGATATTATTCAATAATACGATAGAGCTGAAAAATCAACTATGAAACTTTTTAATTTTTTTTTTAGCTCTTTGTGATATGCATCCAATGAGAGCCCTGTTTCTTATTCCCAGAAATCCTCCTCCACGGCTAAAGTCCAAGAAATGGTATGTAGGATTTATTGAAGTGGTTGCTTTTTTCTCTGATTTTGCCACAGCAATTTCATTCCCAAGACAGAACTTTCTTTACATATTTAAGGGGATGTGATGGCTCAGCAGTTAAAGACGCTGAACTTGTCAGCTGGAAAGTAACAGTCCAGATTCAAGACCCGAGTACCACATGCCAGGCTAGTTCCCTTTTCTAGCCCAAGCTCCTGTCCACTTAGAAGTTTGAAAGAATGCAAATGTGACTAGATAAATAGGTACCACTTTGGTGGGAAGGTAATAGTATTCCATGCGCCTTGGTGTGTAGTCATGCTGGCCACATGACCACAGAAATGTCCTCAGACAATGTTCCTTCAATGTTCCTCCGCTAAGAAACGGAGATGATCACCACCTCATAGAGTCAGACACAATTGGACAGGGGAAACCTTTACCTTTGTAAAAAGCAATCTACGGAGAGATAAAATAAGATTTATATGCTAGTGAACCTGAGCATATATATTCAGAAATGGATATGCAAATTTGACATTTTCAGTCACTCACTCAGACACACACAAACACAAACAGAGAGACAGACAGATAACAGATACTTGCCTTTTGCATTCTTCCAGAATCACAGGGCAGAGCAAGTTAGATTAGATGGAGAAAGAATGAATGGTTGGTGCAAAGTATGGTAAATAACTTTCATTTATAATGCTCAAAACAAATTATTACTAAATAGTGCCATGCTAACAGATAGTTCATTCATTATAATTTCTTAATAGAAATTATCTTAATTTTTTTATCTAAAATAAACAGAATAAGAATGTCACTGATTTTTAGTTTGAACATTGCTTTGTTAAAATGTGTGAGGCTTTCACTATCATTATTACAAATGAGATAAAGAGTAGTTACTCTTCTTTCCAGCTGAAGGAAAATTGTTAAGCCTGCTGGCATATTTTTATAGTAGAGCTGCTTTTATACAATTTGCAACATTAATTCTCACTGGAGAATTAAACCCAGAATTTTGGTGAAATTTAACCTTGACAACAAATAGAGTTTGCTGAATTTTAAATATTATATTAAAAATAGTGTGAATTAATTTGAAGACTGAAATGAATACTAAGTTCACTGTAAAATACTCAGATACCAAGTTGAGATGCTTCCTTTTTTTCCTTAGGACTAAGAATAGTTCATTTAATCAGTTTAAACAGAAAGTTGAAAGGCTGGTAATATTTGACTCAAGCACTCTAGTTTAATGCAAAAAATGGTAATCCTTTCAAAGGAATTGTACTTAACTATTCTGCTGCTCTTTAACCCAAGAATTCTGTTTCATTAGTAAGCAAGCACTATTTGCAGTAACCAACATATAGTAATGACTTTATAGACATGTACAAGTAGTCTTCGATAGTTCATTTAGTGACTGTTCAAAGTTACAACAGTACTGAAAAAAGTGACTCATGACTGTTTTTCACACTTACAATCATTACATAGTCATGTGATCAAAATTCAGTTTGGCAACTGACTCATATTTATGATGGTTTTGCAGTGTCCCAGGTCATGTGATTCTCTTTTGCAACCTTTTTACGAGCAAATTCAATGGGGAAGCCAGATTCACTTAAAAATCATGTTATTAATTTAACAACTACAATGATTCACTTAACAATTGTGGCAAGGAAGGTGGCAAACCAGGGCAAAATTCATTTAATAACTTTCATTTAGCAACATAAATTTTGGGCTCCATTGTGGTCTTCAGTCGAGGACTATTTTTATGTACTTACTTAAAATGGGTTGTAAAGTAACATAGTATATACAGTAAAATATAGACACAATGAAAACAATATAGTTGGACTAATACAATATTTCTTTTGAGAGAGGGGTTATTTTTCCAATACTTGGAAGATAATTTCATTTGGTGCATGTATATTGCTTATACACATTCTGCTATTTAGCCTATGTAATTTTTAAGTTCAGCCTGATTAGGAAAACACCAACTCTTACTACGTACATACATTCATACATACATACTTTACATACATACATGACTATTTTACTCACAAAATTAATTCACTCTGTAATAATTTCACAGATTCTTTTTTAAATCATGCTCAATTAGCTTGACCCAGACTCAAGGGAGCTCCAATTTTGCTAAGCTGTCTGTTCTTCCACATTTTTTTCCTTCAGTACTGTGAACAATATCTCCAAGGACTTGTCACAAGAAGTGGTTTTCAATATAATTAAGATTACCCTCTCTTGACATCTTAACATTTCTTTATTTGTCAATTATAAGCAAGATATTTGAATCCTGGCATGTGGACTGTAGTGCTGGTTGTTCTAAAATTTGTAAATGTTAAATATAGTGTTTATCATATAGAGGATTCTTAATTAATAAATCCGTACTTTCCCAAATAACTGACATATATGGTTTTTGTTTTGCTCAGGTCAAAGAAGTTCTTTAGTTTTATAGAAGGCTGTTTAGTAAAAAATTATATGCAACGACCTTCTACAGAGCAGTTGTTAAAACATCCATTTATACGTGATCAACCAAATGAAAGACAAGTTAGAATCCAGCTTAAAGATCATATAGACAGAACCAAGAAGAAGAGAGGAGAGAAAGGTATGTTTTATTTTTGAAAGTAGAACCACATTTCTGTATATATAGAATGTAAGACTATGCTAATTATATACTAATTAATTAAAAAATAAAGACAACAGTTCTTTTACAACATAGGTGGAAACAAAAAGGGGACAGAAAGGAAATCAGAAGAAAAAGTAAAAGTTAAGCCAGAATTGAAAATTCAAAAGAATTTTTATGCAATGTGAACTCCGCAAACAGTACAATGGATTCTATATATGGTAGACTAATTATATACCATCAAAATAAACTGTATACATAGAAACTGCATACAATGTATAGATTGTTGTGATTTCTGATAAGTACTTTTTCCACCCAGCCTCACTTCTGGCACTATGGCAGACTGCTTTGGAAACAGAAAAGGAATTGTGAAAATTGTTTGGCATGGAAGTTTACTGTTTATATAGAAGGTTAAAAAAACTGATGGGTACTAATACTTTGCATATGAAGAACCTAGTTTTCAATCCTGTGTCATGTGATTAAGAGAGTTGTCTTACTTGCTGTAATATTTAAATAAGGGCCAGTATAAAATTTTAATATTTAAATAAGGGCAAGAATGCTGACTATTCCCTTGATGTAGACTATTCTATGTGAACTATACTGATGAACCTGAAAAAGTAGCACTATCATGTAATAACATAGAACAGCGAAGTCTTAAATATCAACTTTAATAATAGTTGCCTAAATGACTTGGTGTGAGTTTCTGGGCCTTTTCTCATAGTTCATAAGGAAACCATACTAAAGCACTTTTTTATAAGAATTCTATAGATTTTAAACTCATATTATTCCTGAAAGCTTTTAAGACTTATTTGTGAACAAAATTACTTTTCATGGAATTTGCTTTAAGAGATTTGTTGTCATAACTCTTTATTTCCAATTTCTGTCAGATGAAACAGAATATGAATATAGTGGAAGTGAAGAAGAGGAGGAGGAAGTGCCTGAACAAGAAGGAGAGCCGAGGTAATGTAATTGTGGTATTGGGCTGGTGAGAACCATATTATGATTATCTCAATATCTTTCTTCAATGCAATCTTCTCTATAAGGAGCTATACAAGGAGCCATTATTTAATGATTGGTTGTTTTATGACTAGTCAAAGCTACAATGGCCGTAGAATGGATGTTTGTGGCTATTGTAATTGATCCCTCTCATGTGACAGCATATCATGCAGGTCAGAATTATGACTGGTGGTGTGTTGTGTGTCACATGATCACAATTAATGATGTATTTTACTGATTCATTCCAATGCTCATTCAAATGAATGAGTTTGCTTAATGATTGCCACATTTGTTTAACAACTACAGTGAAAAGTGCTGGAAAATTATTTGGATGCTTCAACTTTATGGCCACATAATTATGACTGTAATTCTAGGCTCAATTACAATCATAAGTTAAGAACTAAATAAATCTTTGATTGCTCAGCAGGAAGATCTTGACTGCTCAGACCTTGTATATGTCTGGAGAACTTAACTTGAGGCACAATAAATAGTCAAAACACAGAGTTTCCCAATACTACATAATCAATAAAGGTAGTTCTTAACTTACAACAGTTCATTTAGTGTGTTCAAAGTTACAAAGGCACTGAAAATGTGACTTATGACTGTTTTCCACATTTAGGGCCGCTATAGCATCCCAATGGTCATGTGATCAAAATTAAGATGCTTGGCAACCGCTTCATATTTATGATAGTTCTGTGTCCAGGAATCATATGATCACCTTCTGTAACTTTCTGACAAGCAAAGTCAATGGGGAAGCCAGATTCACTTAACAGCAATCTTAATTAACTTAACAACTGTGGCAAGTAAGGTCATAAAATGGGATAAAACTCACTTAGCGGTGTCACTTAGCAATAGAAAATTTGGGCTCAATTATGATTGTAAGTTGAGGACTACCTGTACCTGTTAAATACTAAAATTCAGACATTTTTCTGTCATCCTTTTCTAAGTTTTGAACATCCAAATTTCTAAACAAAAATGAGGAGGTTTGGTTTCTGCTGGTTTGACTCTCTTGTTTTTCTCTGCCATGATTCCAACAAGTACTTCTAGTGTTTGTAAGAACAATATGGAAGATTTAAAAATGAAAAAGTTTCCAACCTTTGTATAGTTATTTGCTTAGACTTAACCTTTTTTTCTCATGCAGTTCTATTGTTAATGTGCCCGGAGAATCTACCCTCAGACGTGACTTCCTGAGATTGCAGCAGGAAAACAAGGAGCGTTCTGAGGCTCTTCGGAGGCAACAGCTGCTACAGGAACAGCAGCTCCGCGAGCAGGAGGAATACAAGCGGCAGCTGCTGGCAGAGAGACAAAAGCGCATTGAACAGCAGAAAGAGCAAAGGAGGAGACTAGAAGAGGTAGAAATGGGTCAAAGTTGAAAAGGCAAACTTTTTTTTAATTGCCTTTTGTTCAAGAGCCAAAGGATTGAATTTAGAATCTATTAAATTACTGCATGAAGACGTCAGAATTTATCACTCAATGCCAGAATTCTTCAATGGAGCAATGGTGTTGGGTATTAGAAACCTCAATTCCCGTGAGGGTTTGCTTGCTTTTTAATACTGAATCCCTCCTGCAGAATTGAATGTTAAGTATGAAGGTATGGGTAGGGTAGGAATGAAAAAAATGGTTTGATGGTTTTCTGATGTCATATAGGCTGTAGATAGGGTTCTGCATGAGCTAATAAAATTAGCCATGTAATAACAATAATCCCAGGTGTAAAAAAATCCATATATGGCACAGCAGCTGGATTATTCATTAAGAAAAACCCTTTTAGCCCATATTTATGTAATGAAACAGAAGAGAAAAAAATAGGAAAAGGAAAGTTGGAAAAGAAAAGTAAATGTAATAACAAAAATATTATATATATCTAGACCTTTCATACTTGCAAGTTTTATACAACCCTTTCAGTTTATTGTTTATTGTTAAATCTGAAATAACACAATTTCATATTTGCTTCCCCACTTTGATTCCTTAAAAGAGTTAGTGACAATTAAAATTTTTGCAGTCTACTGTTTGCCAAATGACTTTCTTAAATGATTTCCCTGATCTGGAAGATTTTGCATGTTCATTTTTGTCTTTGTACTCTTGCATAAATAGGCTGAAAACAAACAAACAATAGAGTCCCATTATTTTTCCTGCAGACTCCACAGTTGATAATGTTGCTATCCAATTGTTATTGAACTAAGTACTGCAGAAACAAATTCAAATATAAATTTAATTAATTAATAAATACTGCTGATACTATTTTAGCATTTTTAATCAGAATACTTAAAGCATTTGAATATGCCCTTATTTTTAAACTGAAGATTAAAGATATGATACTATTTTGGTCCATTTGAAATATCACAATGTCAGTCTAAATAAATCCATGTTTATTTTAAGAAGGATCCCTTCTTGGTCTTTCAGCACCAGGTATAAGTAGGAAAATATACACATTATTTAAATCACAATTTTAGTGACTGCAGAGTTTATTAAAATAAAACACAAATACATGCTTGCATCCCCATAAAATGGTGCATTATAGATATATGCTATAAAATATATATAGATTTGCTTACCAGCATATCTGGATTTTAATGTCACAGACTGAATTTTATTCTTCTTGCTATTATCCATAATAGAAGAACATAAAACCATAAATAGAATGCTTTCTTTGGTATGTAAATCATTCCAATGATATCTGTATTATACTGATTTCATTATCAGCCTTCAGTCTTTAGAAGAGTTTGTGTGCATTTTGAAACAATGCATACCATAAGCCAGGGCTTCTCAACCTTTTCTTCACTACAGAGCCCTTTAAATACTTTTTGTGGCCATGGACCACCAAGGCTAAGCTCAGGATTTAAATCATAACATTTCTTCAAGCCTTCACAGACCCCCTTGGATGAAATCGTAACCCCCAGGGGTCACGGACCACAGGTTGAGAACTACTGCCATAAGCCCTTTTAGGTAGAACAGGTACACATATCCTTAAAAAAATGTGACATGCCACTGTGTTAGAAAATCTTGACACTATATTATAAACAATTAAGAGAGATAATGTCGCAATCTCTTAAGACCAACTTATGTTTTGCCCCAGTATTAGGTTGACTAAGAAAGATTCTTGATTGAAAATGTTTACATGTTGTGAAAACTAATACTAAACTTACATGATTGATATAGTGACTCTTAGAAAATTGTTGTTTAAGGAATCATGATACACGTAACTTTCTTACCTCTGGATGTTCTATTTACCTAAAATAGATCATTCAGAAAAAAGGAGTTTCAAGCTTAACTGCCAAAAGTATAAACTGAGCTTCGGATAGTTTAATTGATGTCAAATAGCAGAGAAGCAGAATATTCTGTTGCTGGAATTTTGTGCTTAAACACCATTGTCTTAACTATAGCACACAATTATTTCTTTATTAACCAAAGTAAGCTCAGATTCTACAATCTGGACCATACTACATGGGTATTTAATTATTCCTTCCTATCTTCAAACTTCTTTCCCCGAATTTATTTTCTGAACAACAATTATATCAGTAATATTAAAAATAATGTACTTTCTAGAGTTCAATTTCTTGAAGAGAAAAGTTCAAAAAAAATCAAGGCGTTTGAGGTTTTCTTCCTTAAATAGCCTTTTGTATTGCTTAATCATGTTTCGGAAAACACTGTATAATGGAATCATAAACAATTTTGTTAATGAAAAATATGGTGCTTTTTTCAATGCATCTTTAGTTACCTTTATGATTCAAGAGTTTTTGCATGAGATTTTCTGTTTTAAAGTTTGAATGGAATATAGGAGATATACTTTATGCATTAAATAATCCATCAGGATCTAATAACAATTTTTAAATATGGATTCCCCTGTAGCCTGTTCCATATCCAAATTTAATTTGATACAGTTTATTAAATAGTTGCACCAAAAATAGATGGAGAAAACAATGTTCTCAGCATTTTTAAGAATTGTTAAGCTGTGAGTGTGATATATTTTGTGTTCCTTAGGGTAATAAAGCCAATAGAGATACCTACATGAAACTGTTACAAAATGCTTCTAGCATGGCATTCATTTATGTGCCATGTTAAATTTTACTTTATTTGGTTAGTGCAGTTTAATAATTTTAACACAGTTTTGAGTTTGGGAAACTTTCAGCTGTTTAAAAAAAACATAAGAGGTTGTGGAACAAAAAATGATTTGACCTGATTCAAAAGTTGTTACAGGATAGAATTCATGAATATGTATGTAGATTTAGGCATATACACCTACCTGGTAGATTTAAAAGTTACCAATCATTAATTCAGTTTTAGAGGATAGAAGCCTTTATTAGATTAAGAGCCATGATGGCACAGTGGTTAGAATGCAGTATTGCAGGCTGACTGTGCTAACTGCCAAGAGTTTGATCTTGACTGCCTCAAGGTTGACTCAGCCTTCCATCCTTCCAAAGTTGGTAAAATGAAGACCCAGATTGTTGGGGGCAATATGCTGACTCTGTAAACTGCTTAGAGAGAGCAGTAAAGCACAGTGAAGCAGTATATAAATCTAAGCGCTATTGCTTTGCTAAATACATATTTTGTAAGGTTGATACAATCTCTTTTTGAAAGAAGGGTCATTTCCTAATAATCATATTGCTTACTAAGTGGAGGATATTTTTGCCAAAGAGAAAGTGAAAGTGAAAAAGGCCATTAATAAAGCTATACAGAAATATTTAAATAGCTAGGTAAATCTGAAGAAACACAAAAGATCGACAAGTTTGAGATTGTTAATCAAAGTGAATGTTAGTGGTGTTTTAGGGGTAGATATGTGTGTTTATTGGTAGGTAGATAAATGAATCAATGCATGACTGAAAAGATCAGCGTTTGATAAGGAGAATCTTTTGGACAGGAAGCTCATATAACAGGATTGGGGTGAATTATGTTTTTATAAACACTGTAAATTGGTTACTGGTCAGAATGTAAACCTGGACTTTATGAAGCAGTAACTGATAGTAGAAACTTTGGATCAATTTTATTAAAAACAGTTTTTTTTAAAAAAGAAAATGTTATATTTTTCAAAGAATGTGTGTGTTTTCTTTCACTCAAGCTGTCCAGTAATTTTCTTTTCAATTTTAAGTGTTATATCTGATTCTTGTAGGTAGAAAAGCTCCATGAGCTCTGGATATTACATGGCTTGCACAGTCATTCCTGTTGCAGCAACTTCCAGTCCCAAATGGAGCACCTCATAACTCTGGTTCAAAGTTATTCCAATGACTTATATAGTACTGGCATACTCAGTGAGTGTATAGTAACAAAGATTTCTGGAAAAAAAATAATCCTTATTTTCCTGACAAAGAATATCACCTCTTCATTTAGCATTTGGATGTGCTCATTTAACAGCAGAGCCACAGAATTAGCACTTGTGTATATTATACCCTACATTAATCCATAATAATCTCCTCCTGTAGAGCTACTTTGGGAGTTTTCTAAAACTATTCAAAGTTGATCATTCCACTGCCATCGTCCCCTAATTGGCAAGTAGCCATGATACTTCTCCTTTACCTCATAAAGCAGTTCAGTAAAAGTATATCAGATTTTCTTTCAAGGGAGGGAACATTCATGAAGTGGCATCTTATATTAAGAGGTAAGTATATTGGCTAGTTTTAAAGTTCTAATAATATAGTTGCTCAATGTAGGCACAGTCCTCTGGCAAAGTCACTGGATTTCTCCTATTTCTCTTATCAAGCTGCTTAAGCAGTGATTGTGGTGCTCAACATCCTTTCCATATTGGGATAAAGGCTTCTTTGTTGCGTTTCTGCTGTCAGTGTACATGTACAGAAAGATTTCTGGTGCTATTGTAAATTGTCTGGATTGCTTCAGAATTATGGCTGTCCCGTCATTTCATACCACTGAGATCTTATGAAATGTTCACTGTTGCATCAGCTACCTAAGATTTTTCATGGTGGCAACAAATAGAATAGAATAGAATAGAATAGAATAGAATAGAATAGAATAGAATAGAACAGGGGTTGCCAACCTTTTGGACCTCAGAGACCACCCAACTCATAATTTTAAATTCCAGGGACCACTAACCAGTTCTGTGGGCATGGCCTAATTTGTGGTGTGGCTTGGTCATGTGACTGGCTGGGCATGGCTTGTATGTAAATATTATAAATATTTATATAAATATTGAATTTTTTTATTAAAAAAGAGCAACTTTTACCCAAAATCAGGCAAAGCAGGCAGGCAGATTGAGTTGCTCACAGAATCACAGATTCATTCAGAGATCTATCAATCTGCCATTGGCTAGCTCAGTCTGTCACATAAAATTTGATTGCCATGAGGCTGCACTGAATAATAAAACCTTCAGTCCTAAGGGAGGTTCGGCTGTGCTTAAAAGCAGAGCCGAAGATCTAAAGACTAAAGACGAAGATCTAAAGAAAGCAAGAAATCCAATCATTTCCTGCTTTCTAGCTACGGTAATCTAAATCTCCCTGCACAGCAGAAATGATGGTCAGAAAATCCCAGCTGATGGTCGGAAAAAGGAAAAATAGCAATTTAGCAGGCAAGTTTGCCGCGTAAGTAAGTGGGCAGAGAGGGTTCCTGTGGGCCATGTGGGTGGCACAGACTTGTGTTTCTGTGCAGCCTGGATTAATTGCTTTGGGGGTATGTGCTCTGGGGGTGAGATTTCTCTGCGGCCCACCAAATATTTGCGGCCCACTGGTTGGCAACCGCTGGAATAGAATAGAATAGAACAGAACAATTCTTTATTGGCCAAGTGTGATTGGACACACAAGGAATTTGTCTTTAGTGTATTTGCTCTCAGTGTACATAAAGGAAAAAATAAAATACATTTATCAAAAATCACAAAATACAACATTTAGTGATAGTCATAGGTTACTAATAAGCAATCAAATCATACTAGGTGACAAATAAAATATAAATATAATATGATATAAATTGTAAAGATACAAGCAACACGGTTATAGTCATAAGTGGGAAGAGATCGGTACTAGGAAGGATGAGAAGAATAGTAATAGTCTTAGTAAATAATTTGACAGTGTTTTTGGAATTAGTTGTTTAGCAGAGTGATGGCATTTGAGGGGAAAATGTCCTTGTGTCTAGTTGTTCTGGTGCAGTGCCCTATAGCATCATTTTGAGGGTAGAAGTTGAAACAATTTATGTCCAGGATGTGAGGGGTCTGTAGATATTTTCACAGCCCTCTTTATTTTCTGAAATATTGAGGTACCTTTCTAACATCTGCTGTTACTACTATTTCCCATGTCCCACGCTGGCAAGTAAATATTGATCTATTGATATTTGTACTTTCTACATTATGTGGCTCAGAAGCAGCAACAGAATAATCACTATGGATTGTTTTATTATACTCTTCTCTCTTACTCAGACTTAGTCTAAATCTACCTTTTGTCCAACTAAAAGAAAGGCCTTATATTAACAACTATTATTCAGCTAATGATTTAGATGGAGTCTTCAAACAATTCCAACTACTGAAGTAAGATGTGATATTTTCACTAGATAGTTTTTAAACCAGGGTTAGAGTTGCCTTTTCTCTCTTGTCTGTGGGGTGATAAGTAGTGTTTCATTTTCAGTAACCTTTGCCAGGCTATATTGATAGATGCTTCATAAGGGCAGTTCTGAGTATGCTGGTCTTTGACAAAAAAGGTTGAGAAGATGCTGGGATGAAGGATATATAAGGAAGCAGTTTTTCTCTTGTCAATAATCAAGCCTGCATAGCACATACCATCATTTTTCCTGGTGAAATTGCTCTTCCCAGTCACATGCATCCTAAGGAAGAGATCCTTCAATCTGCTGCAACAACCAGTTATTCCAATAGTAAGACAGGGTGTGTTATTAAGAGTAGATGGGATTATATTCACCATTTAGTTTCAGCAAATGCTCTAAGGATTACCATCAGGAAGGGTGTCTAGCCCAGTCCACTCTCAACACATGCCAAAAGTCTTCCACGCTATATCAGTTAGTGGTACATGAATAGCCTGAGAGAAACCTCTGTACCGGCTGGAAGTATTCTGAAGCCACATGAATTGCTTCATTCAGTTGAATTTGGGTGGCCTTTTAGTTTGTCAGAGCAAATCAGAACACTTCTGTGACCGTATCAAAATAAGTATGAACAGTGATGGACAACACCGCTACAGTCTTTATATAGGCAAACATAGTAGATCCTGTTCCAGTAGTATTAGTGCTTCAAGTGGACAATGGTTCAATTTGCAGATAGCAACAGACATCAGGCAAAAGCACTATAGTAGACACATGATGCTACACATCAATGGATGTGTTATCTTCAACATTACTTTTTAGAGTGGGGATTGTCAAAGTAGAGTATATTCATTGGAGAGAAATCAAGATGATAATGGACTTAAAAGAACAATTTATGAGGAATCACCAGAGAGTGAAGACTGTAGAAAAACATGATTATTGTGAAAGGATTTGAAGAAGGATCATGTACAAAAGTGAAAGAATTGTCCAGTATCGTGCCAAAAGACAGGCGACAAATTGATATTTTAATTTACGAAAAAGTAGATTTTAGTTGGAATCAAGGAGAAAAAAATTCTTTATTCTTGAACTTTTCACCAGGAGAACAAATTATCCTGTGAAATGGTGGACTCTCCTTCACTGGAATTACTTAGGCTGACTCACCATCTACCAGGAATGCTGTAATTGTGGATTAATGAGCTAAGAGGTTTGAACAAGGTCTGTTCAAATCCTTATATTCCATGATTCTGTGAATAAAGATTTTGGCTGCCTCAGGAAGTTTTCTACTACGATAAAAGAATTGCAGTTTGTTTCAGGAATAGCTGCTTGACTCTGTTTAGTTATATTTTTAGTTTCTTTTTAGTAGAAAGTCTTTCATCTCTCTATGTCTGTTTTCCGGTGATCTCTGTAGATCATCTGCCAATTAATCCATGAAGCACAGACTAATTCACCCAGACACAAAGCATTTCCTTAAGGAACTGATTATTCTGTGTTTCAGCCTATATTTTTGCAGACGTTCTTGACTCTGATGTAGGGTTTGACAGTAAAGTATTCATGGTTTTGATCTCATCGCTTTTAGCCCTACAGTTTTCAGAGTAAAATGAACTACTTTTATCTTTTAAAATAGTCTTAGATGATTCTGGATGGTGTACAAAAATTGAAAACCAAATAGAATAAAATTATTAAAAGCAATCCAAATAGCCAAGGTTGAAAAAAACATGATATCAGTCTTCAATTAACAGTGGAACTTGCTGACAACTTACTCCAAATGTCTAAGAGAAATTCTTTATTTAGCTACTTCAAGAAATTTCTAGAAATAAGTCTCTGATGACAGCACTGCACTGTCTGTATGGAAGCAATTTTAGTGGCTTCCCTATATTTGGTGATTTCTTATATACAATCACAGTATTCACATTTTCCCACATGGTAGCTAATTAACCATTTTAAAATGTTAACAATTGTAATTGTAGAAGTGCATTTCTAAAAAAATTTCAGATAATCCTGATATAATGAAAAATGAAATTTGATTGCCAATCTTCTAAATGATGTTGGATTGATAATGCTGAATAGTAACTCATAGCAATAGAATCCATAGCTTCTGTATTCTGATTTGATCAGTTGATAAAAGAAAGAGATTACTTACATCCATTGTTACTTGAAATGCAGCAACAGAGAAGAGAGCGCGAAGTTAGAAGACAGCAAGAACGGGAACAGAGGAGGAGAGAACAGGAAGAAAAAAAACGATTGGAGGAGCTGGAAAAAAGGCGGAAAGAAGAAGAAGAAAGGAGAAGAGCAGAGGAAGAGAAGAGAAGAGTGGAGAGAGAGCAGGTAAACCTGAAACAACGTGAATCAATTATGTATGGTTTTCTCTTCCTTCCTTCCCTTTACTAGAGGAAACACTAAGGAAACTATTGGATACAGTCTAAAAAAGTATATTTCCATCAGTCTGGATAGTGTGTTAGTATAGTCATTTCCTATATGACTAGAGAGTGTGGCACTGTACCAGACTATTGAGAGCAGGCTAGTTTGGGGAAACCTAATTAGGAATATGGGAAAATCTGAACTAATGTTTTATGATGAATTCTTTCTTCCTGATTCTGGGCAGTAAGTTTCTTCTCAAAGTCACAACATGTAAATATAGTAATAGACTTTCTTTATCTGCTTATACTGAAGCAAATGACTTAGTTCAAATGATTTAAATGCATTCATTTCTCAAAATTGATCAAAAATGGATCTTTGGAAAAACTGCATTAGTTTCTCTGTCTCATACATGAATCTTGCCTGTTTGAAATATAATTTGTATATGTGACAGAAAGTAGAGATATTCATATTGGAAAAATAATTTTCAGAGAATATACTAAGCACTAAGAACATCACTGTGCTATTTAAAATTTATTGTGTTCTGCTATAAAGTTGGGCTTTGATGTCAAACAACGTATAATATATAATGGCATTTTGCAGAATACATAATAATAGAAATGTTGTTTTAGAAGTGTATGTGATACTGCACTTAAGAGATGTTCGTGTAGTTTAGCTTACCTGAACTTCCAAAAAATTTGGAACTGCAATTCCCAGAACTGTTGGGTGAGAGGCTAGATTGGAGAAAACTTTTTCCCAACTTAATTTTGGGAAATATACATACAGTGACAGTAATGTAAAACAGATTAAAAAATGATCTCCCTGAGTAATTTAATTGGGACTTAGGAAATCATATTTTCATGTAGCTGAAGAAGTGCATCAACCATCTGCCATTGTTTGCATGCAGCTAGAGATGTATTGTTAACACACACTTTCCAAAATGTACAGGTAGTCCATGATTTACAACCATTTGTTTAACAAATTTTCAAAGTTATGACGCAACTGAACAAAGTGACCTACGACTGGGCCTTCCACTTAATAACCATTGCAGCATCCTTGCAATTACGTGTTTAGAATTTGGTGCTTGTCAGTCGGCGTTTATTTACAATGATTGCAGCAACCAAGAGTCATGTGATTTCTATTTATGACCTTCCCAGAACTATGAGCAAAAGCAGTGGATTCACTGAATTTGCTTAATGATCATAGTAAAAGTCATAAAATTAGGTGCAGCTCACTTATCAACCACATTACTTAGCAATTGAAGTTCTGATCCCAATTGTGGTCAAGCATCAAGGACTACCTGTATTGCTGGCATTGATAGATTTTGTTAAAAACAACAACCATATCACTACAAAATGTTAACTCCACTTAATTCTGCGTATGCAAGGATTGTATAACAAGCCAGTATGCATTTTGTTTTGTTTTGTTTCGTAAGATTTCAAGCAGTCTCATTTTGCCATTGCATTGCGTCATTAATTCCTTTTGTGTTCGCTGTCTTTTCATATATGTTTGAGCGCATGTGTTTTCTTTCCGTCATTAATTTGCACGACAGGATGTTCTTAACTTTGGATATGTTGCTGCATATTTTGACTTGGCTTAGGAATCCAGACTTCTGGAGTGTCACTGAGTTATATCTTTCTCTAGTGGATGTTTTTTTTTATGTTCTTTCATAACCACCACATACTTCAGATTGGCATTGTCTGCATTGATGATGAGGCTAGGATCAATTTATAGTTGAGGTTAGGGTTCTAATTGACAGGTCTTTTTGGTGTAAAGCTTGCAAAAGGGATGCCTTAACTAAGCCTGGCTCTAGTTGTTGCTCATGGTTCATCATAAGGTGCAAAACTAATTCTTTTATTAAAAATGCATGTGATTTTGTGTTGGCTGTGTTGATAAGACTTGCTAGTATTAACTACAACCTGTTTTTAAAAAATCATTTGCTTGTTTTTAAGTCAAAATTCTACAGGCAAGATTAATTTTTCCCAGGCCAGGATTTCTTTTCCTCTTTTCAGTTATTTTTTCAGAGGGAGGGTCTGTAATGGATTTTTTTTGCAGTCCTTACTTTAGCTGATTTGGTTTTATTTAATTGTTCTTTAGGGAGTCCATTATTAAATCTATTATTGAATTATCACCGGAAGGTGAATTGGGATAGATGGCGTTTTTCTTTTGTGTGGTGTTGTACTCAGGTGCTTTGGTTACATTCCTGTTGTGAACAATTTTATTGCTGGGTAATTTCTATGTGACAGGAGTATATCAGGCGACAGCTAGAAGAGGAGCAGCGGCACCTGGAAATTCTTCAGCAGCAGCTGCTCCAGGAGCAGGCCATGTTACTGGTAAAGCACTGTATCTGTTTTGTTAGTAGCTACTGTTTGGGATTGCTTTCTCTGACCGGTTGTCCCAGGTTGTCTTTAAATGGACACAGCTGAATTTTATGCATAGTAGAGCCTGGCACAAGAGCTAACATCCTACAGTGTACTTGGCTGCCAGACCAATGTGAACCATGCTGTGTGATTATCTGACAAGCCAATCAGTGAAGATTTCCCCCCACCCCCATGTTAAAGAAGAAGTTTCAGTTTGATAATTGACTTTCTGAACAACCCTTCTCAAAAGAACAGGAGTGCAGGCCATGTTATTTTTTTATTAAATATTGGATATAAAAGTCAGGATACTACGTTCTTTTTGGCCCTCCCATTTCCCCCACCACAACAAAACCCCTCTACCCTTCAGTGGCAAAATAGAATTATGACCGTGCCGATCACAATAGGTTAAATAATGCTATGCCTGTAAGTATTGAAGCTAAGTGTAGCGTACAATGTTTTATAAATTAAGGGGAAAACCTGCGCTTTATTTGAATGTAATTTTTAAGTTTGGTACATTTACTTACACTGGAACTGCAGCAAAATGTATAACTGCCAAGTGCCCACCAGCATGGTGTTCATATTTTGAACCTGTTCTCTCAAAGGAATACAGATGGCGAGAGATGGAGGAACACCGACAAGCAGAGAGGCTTCAACGTCAGTTGCAACAGGAACAAGCATATCTTTTGTCACTTCAGCATGATCACAGGAGGCAGCAGCAGCAGCAGCTCCAGCAGCAAGAAAGGAATAAACAAAACTATCATACCCCTGAACCTAAATCCCATTATGAGCCTACTGAAAGGCCACGGGAGGTAAATTCTATCTCAAGTTATTAGAACCAGTGTTGCTTTTAAAATATCTAACAGACTTTATGTCAAGACTCACCTTCCCATAAGAATGTCGAGAAAGGAAGACGAGTGTGTCCCATTACCGTCTGGGAAGAAAAGGACAATTTTTAAATATACTTTTACAGAATGTATACCTTGTATGGTGTCTTTCCTTTTATAGAGCACCTGTAGGTAGCATGTGACCAATTTCTATATTTGAGGTTTACCCAGGAAAAACACATCGGGAACCAGCAAGTTAGCCCATAAAATCTCTTCTCATATAACATTCAAAACAACATGAACAACATGAAATTTCTTAATTGATTACTAATTGCTATGTTCCAGTCACTTCTGAAGAAGAACCTCTCGTGAACATACAAATCAATTTGCTTAACCTTTAGCAGTGAGAGGTCTGTCATGACTGGTAGGGTTTGGATTAAATAAAGCCTAGTAAGATGACACCTAATTTATGTTAGTGTAAATATTTTATGTTAGTGAGATAACACAGTAGAGGTCTTCCACATACCCTTAATGATTATAGTATTACAGCATAATCTGTGCTATAGCAATAATCTGGAAAAAGATTTTATATTATATTAATCCATAATTAATCTGATAACAATGTGACAATTTACAAAATAGATTCATGGATGTAAAACCATATTTTGGGTGAAACTTTATTACTACATTAAAGATAACATTTTTGGAACAATTCCAAATTCCTTCTGGAGGAATTTGAGGATTATACTTAAGGCTTTCAGGAAGCATCACAAGCTCCAGAGCCCAAGTTCTAACATGCTTCAACCTTATTTAACTTCCAAGTCCAAATAAAGGTAGCCAAATACTGGTACTAGTGGGATAATTTTCACTAAAACATTTTTCACAAAACAGTCATGTGATAAACCAGTGTTATGTGCAGATTAACATTAATCCTAGCATGTTGAACTGATGCTGAACACAGACCATTATATGGAAGAAAAGTTATTTATTTTATTGTATTTGAAGTATAATCCATCCCAGTCTCAAAGAGCAATGGGCAGTAGTAGAGATGAGCATAATATCATATTGGGCGGGAGCTACATAATAAGTTTAAGATTTTAGATTACCAGATTACTGTGTGCAATCTGTTGAGTTGACCAGAAACATGATATTTGTAATTTCTCTGGAGAAATTTTATTTCAATTTCTAAAAATCCTCTTTTCATTGTGTCAGTTGAGTCCAGTTATGTTTTTTTTTTCTTTCCAGGTTGATGACAGATATAGAAAGAATAACCAGAGCTCCCCGGAAGCCCAGTCTAAACAGGGAAGCAAAGTGTTAGATCCACCAGTGCCTTCAAGATCAGAGTCCTTTTCAAATGGAAATTCCGAGCCAGTTCAGCCATCATTGCAAAAGCCAATGGAATCACAGGTAAAATCATTGTGAAATGTATGATGATGGAGAACAAGGAAGAGTTGGGAAGTAACATATATGGAAAGCAACAGATTACATTACACCAGTATTGTATGGTTATATATGGCATCCTAATAGAAAATACTTTTCCATAATTCTGTGTGAGGGATTTTCTTGTTTTTCTCCCCAATAGGCTAACTAACACTCTATTAACATATAATCTCTCAGTAAAAAGCATTCTTTGTCATATCTTTCCTTGGTATTTCTTAAAAATTTATTTCATTCCTTCTGAATTTGACATTTTGAAAGAAAAATTCTACAACTGCTTTTGTATGTGATAAAACTGATTTTTCATGGATTAGCAGTGATTAAAATAGAATCTTACTTCTGTTTAATGCACTTTCCAACAGTATTCTTGAGATAATAGTTGAATTAACTAGGGTAAAGGGACACAATTTCTGCCTCAGGGACATGTTCAGTTTCGGAAAGCCTTGAATGCAGTACCCAGAGTCCTCCAGAGGTTGCTACCAAAACACAATATTTAATGTACTGGAGGCTACTGTTAAGTACCTGATTTAATCATTAAGTGTATTAATTCATTACAATTTAATTAAATGGAAATGAAATGAAACAACATTTAATTTTGTTTCTATTCTCCATCTAAAAGCAAACTTGCTCTGGCAAAATGAAAATACCGAATGAGAAAATTCTACAGGAAAATTCAAGCAGGTGGACACAATTTCCAATCTTAAAGCAGTATCCAATGACCAATGTGTGATCAATTTTCTAATACAGCTTGCTTTCTCAAGATAACTTTGGAGAGACAATGATCTTTTCAAGAGACAGATTCAATTACCTGGTTTACTGTGTATTTAAAAACAATTTCAGTGACTGGATTTTTGTTATAGATCCATTTGATAGATTTGTCTTTGTTGACAGTTGGCAGTACTAAGTCAAAACAGTACTAATTAATTGTACTGTAATTGTAATTGTCAAAAATACCCAACTATTTCTAAGAAATATTTCTATTTCTAGGAAAATGTTGGAAATATTTTAGGGAAATTATGTTGAGAAAAATATAAGCTAGTTATGAATAGTTGTGGTTGTTAAGAGTGTTCAGTTTTTAAAAACTATTTAAAAGGAAGAGTTGTTTTTAAATAATTATACTCTTCTAAAATATATTTTTATGTAATATATTTATTTTATGGACAGCTGTAAATTTACAAGAACGTCCTTTAGTCATCCTTTTCTTTCTAAAATTCTATGAAACTTACTTAGGTTTCATGTTTGAACAGCTTCTAGTGCTAAAGAAAAAATGTGGGCATAGTATAATTCTATAGGTGCAGTAATAAATTTCTATTGTCAAGTTTACCTTGGACATGATCATAAAGAACATATGATCATATTTTTGTGGTCTCTAATGTGCATATATGCAAAATAATATATACAATATATGCATATATCACATATTATGTGATCTTTGTATGTGTATATGAGTGTGTGTGTATAGTGTTTACAGTGTGTATACATGCACACATGTTCACAAGGGCACATATATAAATCAGTACATATCCCAGTAAATTATTTCAAAATTATTATATTTACTGGCTTCTTGGTTGCTTGTTTTTACTCCTACTACTCCAAAATCTGATTCTTTTATTGATGTTTTAAATTTGGTATATGGCATATTTGGAACCTTGGCCGCAAGTGGGATTTGCTGTCATCTCCTTCCAGTGAACCAAATGTTCAGAATATGCTTTCCGACATGACAATACACTATGTTCACAGCTTTTCATGTTCTCTGAGCACCTTCCTTGCTTTAAGCCCACTGATTTCATCATGTGCTTACCTTGCTTCATATCTCAGATATGACCATCCTGCGAGCTAAATCCTTCTTGTCTTTTATTCTGTGTTTAATTGGGAAAAGTCAGTTGTACAGAATGCATTGAATGTTCTATGTTTTGTTTTTTTTGTAAGGTACAGTGGTCTCACCTGGCATCTCTCAAGAACAATGTTCCCCCTGTCTCACGGTCCCATTCCTTCAGTGACCCTTCTCCCAAATTTGCACATCACCACCTGCGCTCTCAGGACCCATATCCACCTTCACGCAGTGAAGTGCTAAATCAAAGTTCTGATTCTAAATCTGAGGTACCTGACCCCACCCAAAAATCTTGGGCTAGATCAGACAGTGACGAGGTGCCTCCAAGGGTAAGAAATAGAAAGACAGAAATTTGACTTTTTTAAACCAAAGAATAACAGAAGGCATGTGCTAGGCTTTTAATTAATGAATGCACACCTGTAGAATATCAGAAACAGGCAATTTGTGCTTTTAATATGTTCATACGCCACCCTGAGATATTTTTTTTAAGGGTGGTATATAGTAACAGTTGTTCTCCTCCTCCTCCTCGTTCTTCTTTTCTTCAAGAAGAATTTGCCTTTTAAAGTAGATAAGGAATTACAGAAAATTGAAGATTAGCAAAAAAATTAGAAGCTGTCTACTATCCATAAATAAAATATTTATCATGCTAAAGGTAATATCCAAGAAAGCACAAACAAAAAAATCATAGCCAAAAGTTATTTTTCATCCTTTAACTAGTCAGTGAATATTTTAAGATACTATTGACCACAAAATCATTTTTTAATGTGATTTACTTTTATTAGATATAATCTTGCTTTCCTCCTAGTCTGCCTTTTACTGATCCATTACTAAGCATTTATTGGTTCCTTAGAGCTTAATTTTCTAAATCCCCATGCCTATTGCTTTGTGAATCCCTTGCTTTAAAGTTCTATGTTCTGTCATGATCGTCTGTGAATGGGTAGCTATTTGTTTCTATGCTAGCTATTTACTAAACATCCTATTTTTTCAGCATCTTAAATGCAGTCCAACTGGGTTTATGGGTTCTATAGTTGGTGAACATTTTAACCAATAGAATTACTTGATTTAGATGCTAATAATATAGTTTTATATATTTAGTAATATATCTGTGTATATATTTATGTATATCTTTATAGGAGCAAAAAACCACTGCCCATGCAACACTATATTAATTATTTTTATTCCCACTTGTCCACGCCATAAGGTACCGGTGAGAACCACGTCCAGATCACCTGTGCTATCCCGCCGAGATTCTCCATTACAAAGCACTGGGCAACAAAATAACCAGGCAGGACAAAGAAACTCCACAAGGTTTGTAATGTTTTCTTCCTTCACCATGAATTGTTTTTTTTTAATCAGGGCAACCTGGTTTACCCAATTATGGGACCGAGCATACTGCTTTCATCTTTCAGCTCCAATCCATAAATTCAACACTTCCTACACCATGATTGAAGGGGGAGGAACACTGGAAACATCATGTTCATTCAGAATATAAGATTTGAACTGTATTGATTTTTTTTTAAGCCAAAGCCTGCCATAGCTAAGCAATCTCAAAAGGTGTATTTATACCTTTAGGAAGTAATAACATGTTAATGCCTTCCCAGCACCATTCATATAAATAGGGTTTTCTTCTGAAGAACTGTGCTAGATTATCATGCTTTGGCCTCTTTTTTAAATATATCTAGTATGTCAGAGAATGGTAACAACAATAATAATTTAGATATTCATATTAGAGTTAAACTTACTATTTAACTTCATGGAAATACCAGAAATGATTGCAGAACCTGTTACATTGACCAGTTTTAATCCATCTCCTCTTTAATTCTGTTTAATTATGACAATTCAGTGGGACATTTTATAGGTTAAAGTAACCTACATCTGCTCCCTCAGATACCAAAGTTATAGTAGTTCCTAATCATGTCTCTTATAGCTGTTTTGTGATTTTTATCAGCTTGTGAATTATATGTATGATCAGTCTCTTAGACACATGCATATTGTGTTAGATTAGTCTAAGTTAGTCATAAGAGATTAGTATTAGTTGTATTAGTCTAAGTTAGTCATAAGAGAC